AAAAAAAAAAAAAAAAAAAAAAAAAACCCATTTCAAAGTGGGACATGAGGAACTTGTTTAGCACAGCCGGTGTTACATATACCACAGAAGTCTTGACCATTAAGCCATTTCCACTCTAGTTTAGGAAAGAGAACCAGTCAACTGCCTGGTAGAACTGGATGCACTGCTACAAGATGACATCACTGTGCATGAGGGCTGTTTCTCCATAAACACCAATCAATGCTTTCTAGAGTTCTTTAACTACATAAGAATACAAGAACAATACATACATAATAAAACAGTCATTGAAATATTCACATTCATGGAAAACATAAGCCTTGATGAAATCCAATTAAGCTATCTTTTAAGAAACTGGTTCATTACAATTCAGATTTTATATCCACCTTGGGCCAGAAGACCTACATTGCATCAATTATGAATTAGCTGGAAACTACTGAACGGTTGCTGACTCTACATGTTTCAATTTACAGAGCAGAGCTTGTCCCCAACCTTCAAAAAGGCGGCAAATAAAGCACTCAAAAGTCACCAGTCTAATTGACTATTTTAAACATAATGATTAATTGAATTGGAATTAGAAACGTTGCTACTACTTCTCAATCTAAGTAATAAAATGATCATACAGAACCTTTCTGTAGAATGCAAGTTTTCTACTACATGGTAAGAAAGAAAGGAAGGACACTTCTGCCCAAGTTCAACACACAAAATATTTGGTTTGAGATTTAAGACAGAAGGCACTTTTAACATTCTAAGATGTTAACCACAAGAACATACTGTCACAAATTCATTTGGGTTTATTCAAATCACCTTTAAAAATTCTTCCTACTGCATTTGCGTAGTTATTACAAAGAGCAGTGACATTTACTGTATTTCACCTTAATGTATTTCTACTTGTAGTACTTCTCCCAATTCAGCAAACTGAAGCAGCGTGTCAGCCCTGAAGATTACAAATCCAATATTTGACTCTAAAGCAATTAAACTAGACATCCGATTAGTTAGTGCAGAAAGAAACAATTAGGGAAAACACTATAGAGCTACCAAAGAGCAATCCTACTCTGTAGTGGTTGGGCTTAAACTGGTTATTTCAAAGTCATAATACTGTCTAGTTGACTGGCACCAATATTAAGGAAAAATATCTGCATGAAAATTCAACTGTTGTAAGACTGTACCCAAAAATGCCATATTAATGTTTCCAGCTTTTCTCCAAAGAAATATACTCATTTTCCCGTCACTGGCATCCTGAAGGCCTTGGACTTGAAGGTCTGGTCAGTCACATGACTCATTCTGTAAGGTTACAATGGATCCAGTTTTATGACTAGACACAAACTTGACTTGAACATTCAAATAGTGTCTTCCTTCAGAGGAGGGAGATGAAAGGGAACCACTACCCCATTATTTTTGCCGTCAATGCTGTACCCACAGCTGTCAGCACTTTCACAAGATGCTCTGTATGGGCTTACTGTTTTCATTATTTCATCTGACAACGTTGAGCTGACCATTCTTCATTGCTACACTTCAACTAAACTGTACAGTAAGTTCTGCAGGGATGGATCCAATACTTCTACCTTTATTTACAAATATCACATAAATGGATTCTAGTTGAATCTACATGTTTAAATCCATCAGCTAAAAACATATTACATATTGTAAACATGGCAATATTTAATACAGTATCTATTCTAAAATATTTTCATGTCATGATCACATTTGTTATACCTGAAATTGAATTTATACACATTAAAGAATTACTAGCAATGGTTGCTCACTTTACAATTGAGGGAAGGGGGCTAGGGCTACATTTTATTATTTCAGAAAGATCTTCGAAGTAGTTAAAGCTTGTCTTTGATTGGCTCGGTGTATCCTTTTTTTTTTTTTTTTAATATCCATACTTAAGATTGACACAAAATAGCTAGGGCCCCTTCTAATTGACAGGATTTTAAAAAATCAGTTTAAGATTCTTAGGGAAAGTGTCTTGTGAAGAATAAAAAAACAAAACAAAACAAAACAAAACAAAAACTGCAAAATAAACTTAATGGAAAAGGGACTTCAGACTGTCAGTTAAGAGTTCATAAAGTTGTCAGTCCTGCTTGGGCTGCAACTGCCGTTTCCAGGCCTCATTCAAGTAAACTAGTCGTTTGTAGTTGATGATAAGAAGAATGAAGTTCAGCACATATGTGAACACGCAGATGATGCAAAACTCCTTCAGCACAAAGTACAGAATGTAGGCCAGGTACAGAGACCCTACCACAGACACGATGGAGGACGTCATGAGGATTAAAGCTGCCACTGCACTTGCTGTCATGCCTGCAAGAGAAAGAGACACTGGGCTCAATCAGGCCTTGACCCTGGAGGGAGAGAAAGCTTCTGAGTTAGAAGGTAACACTTTGTGATCTGCTGCAGTGTTTGAATACTGATCTTACTGCAAAACTGAAATTTGAGAACGAAAACTACTGGTTTATTTTGTTAAGATATGCAGGTTGACTTTACAGATAGGATACCAGTTTTATAGCTGCAATGTTTTTGATTTGCCAGTATTTCAGATGAAATGTTATTTCATTAGCTATTCTTAGATAAGGATATGCATGCAAAGAAAATGTGCAGTCTCACAATCACATTGAGCAATGAAGTTCATCTGTAAAGCAGACAGCCCCATCTCTCCTGATTAATAACACAAAGTGAGGACCAGGATCTTTTCTTCCAAGCTGTACATGTTTGTTAAGATCCTCCCCTGACCTTTTGGCTACAGCCTCCCCCATCTGTGGAAACTAAAATTTGCTTTTCCTTGTTTTAATCAAATTTATCAAAAATCCATAATGGGATATGACTATACCAACAAGCTGCTGAAGAAGGAAAAAAAGTCTTGATAAACATTTCAGAAAGGGCTCACCCTGGTGGATAAGGGAAACCACATTTGGCCAGTTGACCACATGTAGATCAAACCAGATCAAGAAAAAAGGCAGTTATTTATGTGTGCTAAGCCAGAGCTCTCAAGACAAAAATGTGCCTGAATTTTTGACTCTATCTTCACCTGTATTCTTTTATAATTTCCTGTAGCCAAAAACATGGAGACTATGTGCATTTATTTTTAAGACTAGAGGATAAGACAGAGCATATTAAACTACCCTCCAACCCAACAGTTAATGGCTAACGGTACAGGAAAAAATAAGAATAGGTGGTAGCAGGTATAAAGAAGTCAATTAAGGAGCCCAAATCCTGGTGCCTGTTGGCAAAAAGAAAGGCAAGGAGAAGGTGCCTATGGGCTGCAGCATGGCCACAGGGACTGACTTGCCCACAGGACTCATCACAACTAGATAAAGAGCTTTAATAGGGCTCCTCAAGATGAAAGTGCTGTTGACTTACTTATGCCAGGTGCTGGCAAATCTGGCTAGCCACCTGCTTTTGTAAAGTTTTATTGGCACCCAGCCATACTATTCACTTATAAGATGCCTATGGCTGCCTTCACACTAGAAATGCAGCGGTTAGAAATGCAGCGGTGGGTAGTTGCGGTAGCCAGCAAAGCCTACACTATTTTCTGTCTAGCCCTTTACTGAAAAGGTTTGCTGACTTCACCTATGCTAAACAGCTAAAATTTCAAAACTTAACACTGTCACCTTATTTTTTTTTTTCTACGAAAGTTAGTTTCAAAGTGACATGGGCAAGTTATTTACTTTCTCCATGCCTCTCTTTCCTTGACTAGAATTGGGATAGTAATCGTGACTGCCTCCTAACACTGTTGTCATACCTAATATAAGGTATGCTCTATAGATGCCAGCTATTAGTTAAATACTATTGTAATGTAACTAAATACTTGTGGCTTGGGGTAAAATTCCCAGTGGAATTTAAAATGTGCTACAATTCTAAATCAATCATGCAATGGAATATTTTGCAGATGAAAAGAGAATGAAGCCCCTTAACGTACTGATATGGAAAGATCAGCCGAGCAAAAAAAAAAAAACGTTGCAGAGCAGCATCTACAGCATCTGTCTTTTATATTTAAAAAAGAAAGAACATTGAGATCACAGATTTGTGTTTTCTTACATAGGCACAGAGAAAGTACCAGTCGGGGATGCAGGGATGAGGGGCTGTGGAAATGGCAAAAAAGGGACAGGCAGATTTTTCACTATATAGCATCTTATATATATTTTTAGACTTCTGAACCATGTGAATGTATTACCTATGGAAAAACTAAATTAAAAGGGCTGTATCTCAAACAGCTCAGCCGGGAGTGAAGAGGATGTGCTCTGGAACACTGTTAGATGAGTTCAATGTGCCTTCAGTGATAAAACACAACACAATAGCATGTGAAGAGTCTTATAAAATCCCTTATAAAATGTGGATGGAAAAAATACATACGATACATGTAATTTAAAATATATATATATATATATATATATATATATAATGAAATTAACAAATTAATATTATAGAAAGAAATCTATTTCACTTCCATCTCTAAAAATTAATATAGTTAAAAAGGCTTTTAGGCTCTTTCCAATTAAGGGAAAATGAACTAGTGCCTTGCATTTGGGCTTATACTTTATATTTTTCTCTAGAAATAGAACAAAAAAAATACATGGAATAAAAAGTGAAGTTTCTCCCTCCCCACAACCACCAGGTCCTTTTCTGCACATATACAAACATATATTTATTCTATATCTATTATACCACAATTTGCTTTCTTCACTAAACAATACCTTGTTCCTTTATATAGATCCTATGTACAGACTTACTTTTTCCTTTAATGGCTGCATCGTATTTTCTAGCATGGATGTACCTTAATTTATTCAGCCATTACCTACTGCTAGGCTACTTACAACATTTTGCTATTTTAAACTGTATGCTATGAAAATCCTTGTAAATACATCTTTGTATTTCTGCTGGATAAATATACAGATATGGAACTGGACAAACTTGACAGGACTATGAGAAAAATTTAGTTTCACAATTTGCCTCATAACAAATCAACTTCAGGTAGAAAGCTAAATATATTTTTAATGAATCAAATCACAGAAGAGCTGGCAGATAATGGAATGTAATATTAACAACTGAAAGGTAAAAGGGAAAATGGATGGATTTAACTCAAGATACAAATACTGATGCAATAAAAATTCACAAAATGCAACAAGGGATAAACAATGGGTAAAATATTTGTAACAAATATGAAAATGGACTATCAGGATCCCAATAACTAAGTGGGCAATAAAAGGAAATTAAAATATAGTAAAATTAAAATGGTTACTAATACGTAACCATCAGACATTTTACAGAAATACTTTAAAAAAAATACTGATGAAGCTTCACAGAAACCACACAACTGTGGGGAAAGCAATTTAGTAATACCTATTAAAATCCATAAAAAATTTCTAAGTTTCTTGACTCATTAACCCCATGCTTGAAAAGCAATTTTGCGGAACTAAAGAAGAAAAGGAGGAGGAGGGGTGCTTTAAACAAAGTTATTAAGCATTATTTATAACATAAAAACATAAAAACGTGAGACCTCTATGTCAACAATTACAAAACATTTGAGGACAGACAACACTAGATTGAAAAAAAGAGTTATTTTAAAAAGCAAAAGACAACGGAAATAGTGGATATGTAAAGGTGATAGAATTATAAATACAAGGGTACATCAAAAAGTTCATGAAAAAATGGAATTAAGGGCCGGCCCGGTGGCGCACTGGAGAGTGCGCCGCTTGGGAGTGCGGCGGCGCTCCCTCCGAGGGTTCGGATCCCATGTGGAGACCGGTTCCCGCTCACTGGCTGAGCGCGGTGCAGGCGCAACACCGAGGGTTGCAATCCCGTTACCGGTCAGTAAAAAAGACAAAAAGGAAAAAAAAAAAAAAAAGGAATTAAAAGATAATGAATCGGGCCGAGCCCGCTCGGGAGAGTGTGGCACTGGGAGCGCAGAAGCGCTCCCGCCGCGGGTTCGGATCCTATATAGGGATGACCAGTGCGCTCACAGCGCTCACTGCTGAGTGCAGTGCGGCCGGTCTCAAAAAGGACCAAAAAAAATAAAAAGATAATGAATCATTCCATGAACTTTTTGACGTACCCTCACATAGTTTACTATTAATATTATCTCAATACACGATATTTTAAAATAGCTACAGAGTCTATAAAATCATAAGAAAAAAAAAGTTTACAGGGAAGATGGTTTGTAATAATAATTTCCTTGAATGAAACTACGTTTACTGGACCTCATGAGATGCTGCTATCCATGACTAAACACCAACTGACGTTCAACAGTAGCATCATAAAAAGTCTTAGTGAATCAAGTTGTCTGTCACAACACAAAAATATGCTGCAAACTGGCAGTTCTGTACACTTTAAGGCAAAGACACACAAATGAAATATAACAAACTTATTTTTGTATTGCTGTATAAATACTTACCAAGTAATAACTGCAGTATATAAAATATAAGTCCAAAGACACTGTTTGGCTGGTTTAATACACCATCCTTTCCAAAAATGGAACCCAAAAGACCAAATCCTCGACCCCATCTGTAAAATAAGGAAAACCAGTAACCCTATATTTGAATTTCCCTATTTTTAAAAATGTAAAATTATTTGAGAATGTAATCCAATGCTAAAATCAACTAAACTGCCAATTTTTTTTACATGTCTTTTGTTGAAAGAGTGATTTACTCCAAAAAGGGAGGCCAGGCATTAGATTTCTATATTGCATCTAATTAAATAATGACCTAAAATGAACATATCTAAAAGCGCCAATATTCCCATCTGAATCTCTAAAGTGGCCAAATTTCTACGTATTCTCTTTTCCAAAAGATAGGACCAAGCATTCTTTTTCTGATGGCACTAGTATTTGCAGGAAGCCTCTCTCAATTTAAACCAGGACTTCTTAGCAGTGGCAATGCTGATATTTTGAGCTAGATCATTCTTTGTGGTGGGAGACTGTTCTGTGCATTACAGGGTGTTTAGCAGTATCCCTGCCCTTTACCCACTACAAGCTAGTAGCAATCTCCCACCCCCAGTTGTGGCTACTAAATGTCTACAGCCATTGCCAAATGTCCCTTGGGGGCCAAAATCACCCCCACTTGAAAGCCATTGATGTAAGCTGTCCAATTTCTTTATTCAAAACATATAGATTGAAAAGTAATTTCCTGACAAATTTCATCAGGATATGCACTAGGAAAAATATTTATCCCAATAACATATCTTTAAATGTAGGACAATATCAGAAAACGTGTTTTTCCTAGAATCATATCTCAAAAGTAAAAATTGATACATTATATGCCCCAGTTTTTATTTGCAGTTTAACTTCAAACTTTGCATTTGACCCAACATTTTCAGAATCCTATTTTCGGGCCAGCCCGGTGGCGCACTGGAGAGTGCGCCATTTGGGAGTGCAGCGGCACTCCTGCCGAGGGTTCGGATCCCATGTGGAGACCGGTTCCTGCTCACTGGTTGAGCACGGTGCGGGCGCGACACCGAGGGTTGCGATCCCGTTACAGGTCAGTAAAAAAGACAAAAAGGAAAAAAAAAAAAAGAATCCTATTTTCTTATTTTTTTAAAAAAAGGATTATTAAGTTCTGATTTAATAAAACTTGTTACAAATATCGAACTAGCATTTACTTTGAAGATAAAACTTTAGCTCTGAATGAGAATGCTTTTTAAATACCAAAAAGAAAACCATTTACGGTGTTGTCAGAAACACTCTAATAAAACCTCAACTTTGGTTCTGAAGACAAATCACCTGAAAGCAAGGATAAATAAGTGATTCTTTATTAGTTGTGTTAGTTTGTTAGTACTCAATGTCCAGGAAATAGAGTGAAAACCTTTTATAATGATAAAGGGAGATAAGAACAACCCCAATTTTACAAGCAAGCAAGAGCCATGAAGATTTTTATTGTACAGTTATACATTTCAAAGAATACAAAATAATCTTCACTATATCTATTTATTCTTTCATTCACCAAATACTTATTGAGCATACACTAGGTGTAGACCCTGTGATAGATGCTGGGGATTCAGACTCAACAAACTAGATAAGATGTGACCCTTGCAGAGTTTCATATTTTATTTAGGTAAGAGAATAAACAGGTAAACAAATGATTAAGTTATCTTCAGAAATGGACAAGCCTATTAACAGATACATAGGAAAATGAGAGAGAGGATACTCTAGATCAGTGCTTCTGAAAATTTAAAAGTGCAGTTACCTTGGGGTCTTGATAAAGTGCACATTTTGCTTCAGTGGGTCTGTGGTGAGGCCTAAGACTCTGCGTTTCCAAAAAGAAACACAAACAAAACAAAATGCTCCCAGGTGATGCTGATGCTTCTGGTCTAAAGACCATACTCTGAGACCGACTGCTCTGGATAAAGGGTGAAGTTGGCTACTCTAGCTAAATGTCCAAGGAAGGCCTTTTTCAGGAATTAAATTCTGAATCATATCCTGAAGGATGAGAAGCAGCAGTCTCATGAGGAGTGGCAAGCACAAAGACCTTGAGGTAGGAACGAGCTGTGTAGAAAGAAGGCCACCACTGTGATCAGGGGAGGGTGACAGGAGAAATCAGGCATGTCCAATCATTTAAATGATTTACGGCCCTATTTGTAGGCCATGAAGAAGAGTTCGAATTTTTTCTAATTGCAACGAAAGAGATATTTGGAGGCTTTGAAACAGGAAAGTGAAATAACCTTATTCATGATCTGTGTAAAAGAGCAGCTGCAGGGGCAGGGACAGGGACAGGGAGAAACTGTGCAGTCCACACACCCGAACACTACTCAGCTGAGGCAGGAACTCAAATCGAAACCACTGCCTTTGGCAATGGAAATACTGCCAAAACTATCATGGGTAAACAGAATTTTTATATATTCAAAGCACTGGTCTATGCCTAATTATTCACACAGGATTACGTGGATATTTCTTTAAAAACAACGCAGTAATCCACAGAATATACTATTTTATCTAAGACATACATGCACAAAGTGTCAAAATTAAATACCGAAAGCCTATAAAACAAAAGGCAGACATTCCCTACTCCAGCCCTTCCCACACTCAGTTCTTTTTTGTGTGTGTTTGTTTTGGTGGCTGGCCAATATCGGGATCTGAACCCTTGACCCTGGTGTTACAACACTGTGCTCTAACCACCTGAGCTGACCACCAGCCCTACACTCAGTTCTGATTCCCAGAGGCGACCACTTTGATGTCTTTCAACTGTTTTTCACTTGTACTTACCTCCTCATTTCTAGGTAATAAGTTTACACTGCTACTTATGATTTATCAATTCTAAATATTATCTTTTGACTTTCTAATATGGTAGGCCAGAATGTTGCTTTTTTTAAAAAAAAATTTATTATGGAAAGCTTCAAATACATACACACCAAGTGAACAGAATGGCGTAATAAACCCCATGTGCCCATCACCCAGCTTTGATAATTGTGCCTTTCTTGTTTCTGCTCCACCTTTACCTACTTCCCACTTGACAGTTATTCCTACTTCTTTTTTAAGTTAAAATTTATATAACTTAATGCACAAATTTAAACTGTATAATTCTGACAAATGGATACACCTGATATAAATCCACACCCCATCATCATTTAGAATGTTTGCATCTCCCCAGTTAAGTACTAGTGAGTCCCTTCCCATCAACCCACCCCCACCCCCACCCCCCAGAGGAAGACTCACTGGGATGGCTGTAGGAATCCAGACTCCAAAACAAAGCTACATCACTGGTCTCCTGGATCACAGTGCTATGCTCTTCCCCATATATCACATAAGTTATAAAATGCAACTACTATTCCAGCATTTTCAACCAAACTGAATAATTGCTTATTTCCTTGATAAATATAATTAATAAAGTTAATTTGATAAAGGTGCACATAATAATTGTCAGCAAGTCAACTCACAAGCAAAGTAAAAGGCGAAAGATTTATACGATCTGAAGAGAAACCAGAGTATAACTCACAAGCAAAGTAGATGGGCATTACATAAGATTATTTTCCTTGGAAAGGTGAACAGAAGCAGATTTTCATAAAATATTATTATACTTTAAAATTGCTAGGAGTGGCATGGTAACTTAAAAACCTTTTAGTGAATCCTGTTTTTCGGTTTGGATAAACCAAAACTCCACCTAAATAAACTGTAACCCACACAAATAAAAACCAGTTGTCTTCCAAAGTTGGTTGGGGGCACTATGAAGGGGCCTCAAGAAAAATAAGATTATCTTTTTTCCTTATTTATACTAAAGAAAGGTGTACAGAGTGTGAACCAGTTTCCTTACTGAGACACACAGAGACCATAGTGTTAATAGCACAGGCTTTGGAGTCAGACAAACTTGGCTTTGCTACTTATGAATAGGCTATGGGTAAGTCACTTCACCTTGGAGTCTGAACTCTCTCATTTTAAAATGGAGATGATTATAGTACTCAATTCATAGGGGTGTTATGAGAAATAAATGTGTTAAGAACTTCAAACCACCTTTGTAAAAAGCAATAAATAAATAAAAATAAAAAGAATAATTGTGTAGTAATTTAATATAAGAAATATAAGTAGACGTGTACACAAGACACTCTGCTATCTGCATTATCTTTTCAAGGCCTGATAGTTTTGAAATAGCATGCACTTACATAAAGCTTCCCCCTCCCCACAAACGTAGGTACACTTTATTAAAACATCTTAACTTTGATCTTAAATGTTGCATAATGCTTTACATTTTACGGAAGAAAGACCATAATTAACTCCAAGATATCCTTGTTAGTGAATATTAGGCTGTTTCCTTTCTCATGATTCTATTTATTTATTTATTTATAATTTTTTTTTAAAGGATGACCAGTAAGGGGATCTTAACCCTTGACTTGGTGTTGTCAGCAGCATGCTCTCCGAAGTGAGCTAACTGGCCATCCCCATAGGGATCCGAACACGTGGCCTTGGTGTTATCAGCACCACACTCTTCCAGGTGAGCCACGGGCCAGCCCTGCTTCTCATGATTTTTTAAAGCATTAAATAAATATATTGTACAAAATATCTGTCTGCATAGTATACTATTTCCATAGGATAAACTACGAGGGAAATGACTTGATCAAGCAGCATGTGCATCTTAAAAAATACTGTTACTGTGCAAAAAGTTACACCAGTTTATACTTCCACCATCAGTCCCTAAATATCATCTTTAACTCTAGCTAAGACAGATGTAAAAATGGCAAACATGCTTTTATGTTTAAATAAATATATTCACAGATAAGTTTAAACTTCTGATTACCTTTATTTATTTACTCATTATTTATACTTTGGGAATTTTTTTTTCTTTTTTCTTTTTTTTTGTCCTTTTTGAGACCGGCCGCACCGCGCTCAGCCAGTGAGCGCTGTGAGCACACCGGTCATCCCTATATAGGATCTGAACCCGCGGTGGGCTCCCAGCACCGCACTCTCCCGAGTGCGCCACGGGCTCGGCCCTACTTTGGGAATTATTTGCTTTTTTCTGTTATTTATTTTTCCTTTGTTATTTAAATGTGAAATTATCTTGCTTATACCATTGTTTTAAGAA